AAGATTGTGGCAGGACAGAATATACTGGAGCAATGTAGGTAGTTAGGGCCTGGCGGCCGGAAGATATCGCATTGTAAGGAAAGATAGAGCCCCCCCCCCCGTTTAATAGCCAATAGTATGTAGCTTGTGATGTAAGCAGACGGAAGTGACGCTGTAAACCCAGAGTATATAATGCTGTGTTGCGAAGTAATAAACGCCATTTGCCATCCACCACACTGGTGTCTGTGAGCTGATGGCCTGAGCGGCCTGGGGTTGGTCGCCTTGCCGTTCCTGAACCAGGTCGCCACGCCTTGCGAAGGCAACAAGTGGTGCCGAAACCCGGGAAACTCCCCTGGACGGGTGAACGGCGGCCGGAGCGGCAGGACCAGCCTGGCGGGGAGGACGCTCCCGGACCAACAAGGAGGATGGAAGCCCTTGTGAAGGTCGTATCACAATTACATAAGCAGTGGGGTATCAATTGCAAGTCTAAAGATTTTTCTCTCGCTGTTGCGAGACTCTTGCAAATCGGGGTCATTGACCAGCCAGCGGATATACTCCACCCTGAAGTGTGGGATAAATGTACTAAAGCACTAGCTGAGGAGACGAAGTCCTCGGGTTGTGGGAAAAACCTTAAGTCATGGGGAAAAGTCGAACGGGCCCTGCAGAAGGCAATACAAGCACAGGAGACCTGGAAGGCGGCAGAGAGCTGTCTATTGGCCACCCTCAAACTGGGAGTCGGGGCGGCCACACAAACTCTGCACTTCCCAGATCTCGACGATTCTGCTGAGCCTAAAGATCTGCAAGAGGGCGGCATGCCTCCCCAGTCCCCGAACTCCAACTTGCTTGTGGAGGCACAAGAACGAGCTAAATCTTTCTGGGGAGGGTTAGTCGAGGAGGCCAGAGGAGTTGAGGAAAAGGTAGAGTCTAGAGAACCTTGCGTTAGACCACCGCCCTATGCGCTCAAGATGGCGCCAAGCAGAAACGGGGAAGGGCGGGCCGAAGGTGTCTATGGCGGGAATAGTGAGGAAGTGCTGGCAGTGTGCAAGGGGGAGGGGAACGAGAAGAAGGACAAAGGAGGGGACGGCCGAAAAGAGAAGGAAAAAGTGAGTGGAACGTGGAGAGCCAATCAAAGCGGCCGTCCGGGAAAATGCCCTTGCTGGGCACACACCCCGCCGAGTAGTGGGCGCGGTGGGCGGGGCGAACAAGATAGGAGGGACAAACGCAGAGGGCGGAACAAACCCGCCCACAGGAGAAGCGGGTGGGGCCGAAGCCCGACAAAAAGACACCGCAAACCGGAAGTAACTAGCCAGTCGAGCTCTGGCTCTGGGTCCGATACCAGCTGGGATGAGTGGTCCGCAACTGATTCAAGCTCAGAGGAGGAGGCAAGGAGAGTCGATACAATAAAAAGACAAAACACTTTTACCCAAAATGAACCAAAAACACAAGAAGTAAACACCTCATTCACCAACTGGGAAGAAATAAAAGCTGAGTGTGCTGGTTGTGTTTCCTCAACCACGCTAGCATACCCAGTCCAAGTAACGAACGGGGGACAGAGAATTTATTCACCAGTAAACCCTAAAGATATACATGCGATTGTGAAGGCGATTGCGGATAAAGGACTTAACTCTACCATGGTGTCCACCTTCTTAGATAGTGTCTTTGGGGGAGGTGATATGCTCCCATTTGATATAAAGCAAACTTGTAGAATGATCTTTGATGGGGCAGGGATGATAGTTTTTAAGGAAGAATGGGAAAATAACTGTGTGAAACAATTAGCTAAAGTGACCGGGCCAGATCATGCAATGCATGGCTCCAACATCCAGCGATTGATGGGCTCAGATCCAACAATGATCACCCCCCAAGCACAGGCCCAAGGCCTGCGGCCCCATGAAGTTATGATAACCACTCATGCGGCCAGAGAAGCTATTCACGCTGCCTCTAGGGTCATTGCCGTGCTGACACCTTGGTCTACGATTAAACAAAATGAAGGCGAGAGTTTTACTCAATTTGTAGATCGCCTTCAGGCAGCAGTTGATTTTTCAATCCTGCCTGCGGTAGCAAAAGGCCCGGTCATTGCAGATTGTTTACGACAGCAATGTAATTCTACAACCAAAGAGATTTTACGGTCCCTGCCAGCGGGAGCAAGTCTAGCAGACATGATCAAACATGTTACAAGGGAAGAGCATTTAGCCCCGATTCAAGTTGCTGTCCTCACTGCGGTGGCTGAGGTCATGGCATGTTTTAAATGCGGCCAGGCGGGCCACGTGGGAGCGAATTGTCCCCGATTTGGGGACTCATCCGCGGTACCCCCCTCACGCCAAAGTCGACGAAGAGGACTTTGTTGGGCCTGTGGAAAGAAAGGACATTTTACTAGAGATTGTAGATCAAAAAGTCAGGGAAACGGGAAGGGGAGAGGGCAATTGGGCCGCGCACAGTCCTCTCCCAGCTGGGACATACGGCGGCCCAATTATGCCAACCCCGGATGGGGCGAAGCACTCCTGAACCCGTTGCCCCCACGAGAAACCACCAATTTTGTGGCCCAGCCGATGATCCATTCAAATCAATCCACACCCCACGAACAACAACAACCATTTCTGGGGAACAAGACCCTAGGGTGGTCCTGGCAGTAAAATGTGACAGCCCACCAGTAGTGTGGGGAATTTGTTCCCTTTATAATACCACAGATGACACTACCATTACTGTCCCTTTTCTGATTGACACCAGAGCAGATGTAACAGTCATTCCAGAAAGAAGTTGGCCCCAAAATTGGAAATTGGAAGGCGCCCCCACGGTGGGTGGAGTCGGGGGATTAATCCGGGCTCAAAAAAGTGTTCAATTAGTGGCAATCACACTTCATACCGAACAAGGGCCAGAGAAAACCATCACTCTCTTCCCATATGTTATGTCAGGGGTCCCACCCCTGCTAGGAAGGGATGCTTTGGCCCTTCTGAAAGCCCGGGTGACAAATTTATTGTAAGGGCCACTGCCGCATGCCCACTTCCACCTATCAAATTGGCATGGAAATCGTCTGACCCGGTGTGGGTCGAGCAGTGGCCCCTGTCAAAGCCTCGAATGAATGCTCTACTCGAGCTGGTTGACCGCGAATTGCAGAAATGTCATATAGAGCCGTCCACTAGTCCTTGGAATACTCCTGTGTTTGTAATACCCAAACGAACTAGTGAAGGCTTTCGCCTCCTCCATGACCTGTGTGAAGTAAATAAGAAGATTCAACCAATGGGCCCCGTCCAAACATTACTGCCCATGAATTCTATGATACCAGAGGGCCAACCGTGTGCTGTCCTCGACATTAAAGACTGTTTCTTTTCGATACAATTGCATGGGGAAGACAGAGAGCGATTTGCCTTTTCGATAGTTTTTCCGAATATTTCACGTCCCAACCTACGCTTCCAGTGGAAAGTACTGCCTCAAGGAATGATTAATTCCCCTACTATCTGCCAAATCGTAGTGGATCGGGTGCTGGCACCGGTTCGGTGCGATAATTCGACTGCAACTATCATCAGTACATGGATGACATCTTAATCGCCGCGCCGTCAGAAGACCAGGTGGACCACCTAGTGACAGCAGTCTCGACAACTTTAAAAACGAATGGATTTGAAATTGCAGATGCAAAAGTCAAAAGAGGACCGTGTGTGACCTTTTTGGGGATGGGGATCACAGGCTCTTATGTAACCCCCCCCAAAATAAAGATCCGTCGAAACATTGAAACACTCCACGACATGCAGCAATTAGTGGGATGGCTCCGTAATGTTGTCCTGATCCCTCCCGAAATTATGACCCCCCTCTACGATCTTCTCAAAGGGAAAAACCCCTGGGAACAAAAAACATTGACGCCAGAGGCGATGAACTCTCTTGATTTCATTGAACAACAAGCCTCATCGAGCACGCTCGCCAGATGGAACCCAGGTGTCCCGCTTGACCTATATGTGCATTTTACAAAAGGAGGGGGAGTAGGGGCACTTGCCCAGGGAACCCCTGAAAAAGCCCAGCCAATACAATGGATAGTCCTAGGAAAACCATCATGCGCGTTCTCTCCAGGACTCAAGTGCCTTGGCGATCTCATCATGAGAGGCAGAAAGCTCGCCCTAAGACATCTAGGCATTGAGCCCGCCAGAATATACCTGCCTTTCCGCAAGCAACTCCCGAATCAATCGGTGGCGACTTCAGAGTATCTAGCCATAGCTCTCGTTGGATTTGGCGGAGAAGTCCAGTATGCTGCAAAACCCCCCTGGACTCAAATGCTGGCCGTTGTCGACATCGACCTCCCTCAAAAAATCATAGACCGCCCTCGACAAGGACCAACAGTATTTACAGACGGATCCTCCATAACTTCTACCGCAGTAGCAGTATGGCAATCGGGGAAAAAGTGGCATCGCATCAAGATGACCGACCTCACGCTTTCGGTACAGCAGCTAGAAGTGCAAGCCATAGTCCTGGCGTGTGGACTGTTTCCAGAAGAACATCTCAACATAGTGACTGACTCAATGTTCGTAGCCAAGCTTTGCTTGGCCATGTCAGGGCCAGGTGTATCAACATCCACAATAGCTTTAATGCTGGAAGAAGCACTTCTGTCTCGCAAAGGTACCATATCCGTCATCCATGTCAACAGCCATGACCCAATCAAAGGGTTTTTTCAGACTGGCAATGACAAAGCCGATGCTGCAGCAAAAGGACTGTGGACGCTAAAAGATGCTCATCAACTGCACGAGTCTCTCCACATTGGAGCTAAAGCGCTGGAGAAGAAATGTGAAATCTTGATCACTGATGCAAAACACATAGTGGCCACAGGTCCCCACTGTCAGAAACTACCGCTATGGTCCAGCGGAATCAATCCCAGAGGTCTAAAAGCCTCCGAACTGTGGCAGACAGATTTTACCCTTTGCCCATTATTAAAACCCTGAGCATGGTTAGCAGTAACAGTAGACACATACAGCGGAGTGATTATAGCCTCACAGCATCTCAAAACCAACTCTAAAGCAACAATCCAACATTGGTTAACAGCTATGGCATGGCTTGGTATTCCCAAGCAAATCAAAACGGACAACGGTCCAAACTTTGTCTCCGCGTCAGGCCGGGCATTCGCACAAAAATGGGGTATTACCCTAATACAAGGTATCCCATACAATAGCACAGGGCAAGCCATAGTTGAACGAGCAAATCAGACTTTGAAATCTAAAATAGAAGTGCTGGCAAAAACAGAAGGCTTCTCTAGCACTGTTCCCCCGGGAGATCAAGCACGCTTGCTAGCCACTGCCCTATTAGCGCTAAACCAATTTCCCAGGGGGGAAGAGGCGAATAGCCCCACTCAAAAACACTGGGCCACTCGAGCAATGGATGAAGGTTCGTTAATCATAGTCAGGAATGAGCTAGGAGAGTGGGAACAAGGGTGGAGACTAGTTCTTACTGGGAGAGGGTATGCCGTGGTCAAAAAGGACGGAATCGTTAAGTGGTGCCCACTTAAGTCCATTAAACCAGACCTTCAGAAACAAAACTAACAAAACTTTGAGTCTTTCTCTCCACAGGATCCCATCATCGGACGTCCTCGCAACTCATACGCTCCAATACCGAGAGAAGATGACAAGTCCGCAGATATCCCTTCCATACCCGAAAATCCTGAGCAGATGAAATCCGGGCAACGGCAACATGATCCCTGCAGACAAGGATGGCGACATCTTTGTGTGCTCTTCGCCTTACAGCTCGTCGCTACCACACAAGCGGTACCAGAACCCCACCCCCATCAGCCTTTCAAGTGGACCTTACTCCGATTTGAGAGACAACAGGTTATCGCAACCCAAATAACACCGGGAGCACCAAGCTTTAATGCTACCTTATGTCAGCTTGTCCCGAGACCCCGATGCTGGGAATACCTGGGATTCTATATGTGCCCTAGTTCGAATCCTAGAAAGGGATATTGTAACCACCCTAATCAATATTACTGCAGCTATTGGGGTTGTGAAACCATAGCCCCTGGTTGGATACCGGGTAGTGGTATAGACAGGTACCTAAAGGTGCAATGGGGTCCATATGGGTGCAAACCACCACAAGGGTGGGGAGGACGTGGAAAATGCAAATACCTCTTCTTAAATGTCACCAGCCCTGAAGACGTAGGATGGATAATTGGAAGAGTGTGGGGAGTGAGGTATACGGAACCAGGGACAGATAAGGGTGGTTTAATTCTCACAAAAAAGGAAGTGGTCCCAAATGATCCGCTGCCAGTAGGCCCTAACCAGATACTAGCTGATGATTTGGCTAAAGGAACAATGGATAGTACAACAAGAATTACTAAAATAGACAATATAGCGATAACTCCTGAAATGAAGACTACTCGAGTCACCCAAATTCCTGATGAAACCCTTCGGAATAACTCAACCCCTAACGAAACCCCTGAAATTAATCCCCTTTTGAAAATGATGCAAGCTAGCTACCAACTGCTGAACAAGACTAACCCAAACCTTATGGAGCATTGTTGGCTATGCTACAGCATAACACCACCCTACTATGAGGCTATAGGAATAGACGACGCACCCTTACGAGTAAATGGTACGAATCCGGCCCAGTGCGCTTGGGACACAGAAAAACAAGGGATTACATTAGCACATGTGACGGGAAGTGGTACATGTATAGGTACAGTCCCTAAACACAAAAAACAACTATGTGCTAATGTGACACAGTCCAAAACCCCTGCACAGTGGCTAGTACCGGCCAATAATGCCAAATGGGTTTGCTCCATTATGGGAGTTACACCCTGTCTGTCGTTAGACAAATTTGATGAATCCTCAGAATATTGTGTCCAAGTAACTATAGTTCCTAAGATCTTCTACCATTCCGAACAATGTTTCTATGAGTCACAAACCACTCCAGAACACCACCGGTCAAAACGGGAACCCTTTACAGCATTGACAATAGCCGCTCTCCTGATCATGGGGGGTGCGGGATTAGACACAGGGGTGGCATCCTTAGTGCACCAACACAAAGAATTTACCGCCCTAAGCATGGCAGTGGATGAAGACCTAGCTAGACTAGAACAATCTATCAGTGCATTAGAGAGTTCGCTTAGATCGTTATCTGAGGTCGTGCTACAGAATCGAAGAGGGTTAGACCTAGTGTTCCTGCGACAAGGGGGAGTATGTGCAGCTCTGAAGGAAGAATGTTGTCTGTACGCCGATCACACTGGCATAGTGAGAGATACTATGGCCAAACTACGGGAGAGACTAGAAAAACGAAAAAGGGAACGGGAGGCGGAACAGAATTGGTTCACATCCTGGTTCACCAGCTCACCGTGGCTTACCCCTGTGATATCTACCCTGCTAGGGCCGGTTACAACAATCCTGATAGCATTGATTTTTGGACCCTGTATATTGAATAAGCTCATAGAACGCCAACAGTTGCTTTAGGAATGTTCTTGTTCAGAATTTTTGGTCTATCCCCAGTTATACCTTGTCATTCTCTGCTATCACCTGTTTCACGTGCCTTGCCCGATGGGCTCTGCATCCCTATTTCAAGCATATATTCCATTTGCAGGAACTGTTCTCAATGTTGTGTGAAAGCATCAACCATATACTGTTGTTACACCCAGTTAGTTTTATTAAGCATAGGGAGGGGGGAAATGTAGGTAGTTAGGGCCTGGCGGCCGGCAGATATCGCATTGTAAGGAAAGATAGAGCCCCCCCTGTTTAATAGCCAATAGTATGTAGCTTGTGATGTAAGCAGATGGAAGTGACGCTGTAAACCCAGAGTATATAACGCTGTGTTGCGAAGTAATAAACGCCATTTGCCGTCCACCACACTGGTGTCTGTGAGCTGATGGCCCGAGCGGCCTGGGGTTGGCCGCCGTGCCGTTCCTGAACCAGGTCGCCACGCCTCGCAAAGGCAACAGAGCAATGCATTTTATATTAGTTGTTTACACCACCATGGTGTTGGAAAGGCCAGGTTTCAAAGTTGTGTGGGCTTCCCAATTTGGATTTAGTAACTGAAACATGTTATTTGTATTTTATATCTAGGCACTTCATGATACTTTTGGTTTTGCTGTTTGTTTTTTTCTAGAGAACATGTAGTACACTAAAAAGAATTTATTCTTAACAAAACCATTTGAACATCTAAAAAAATATTCTCCTCGCTTTTCATCAACCTTTACACTACCAGGTAGAAAACTTTCAACAATAGAAGTCATTCCAGTAACTTTAAAGAAAATAAATAAGTGTTTACAAACCATATAAAACTATGTGAAACAGCAACTTATATGGATGTCCTCTTGAAGAAACAGGAAGAAACATGTTTTTGGAATATAGCCTTTTGGTTTCTTTTTAAAAGGATCCGTTTCTATACACCAGCAAAGGTGGCTTGCAACAGTTGCACTATTGTTTTTTTCTTTTAACATATTTTTTTCCATCACCATATTTGTCAAAGAATAGTGTATTTGGGATGATTTCCCATTCAGTTCCCCCATTTGAGATCAAAAGAAGCTTTTTTCTCTTTGCTTAGTACTATTGTAACAGCTATGATTTGTTCTTTCAGTGAGATGATAATGTCCTGGCACAAAGAAGCAGTGTTCCTTACCAACTGTGTGAGCTGTGGTGTGAAACGTCATTCCTCTAAGGTTCCAGAGTTGCAAGAGGAAATTTGAAAGATTGTTCGAGTCTTGTGTAGAAAGTGTCAGTGAATTTACCTCAGTGTACCTTACCACTCAAAGTTTTACACATAGCTTTTGTTAGCATTGCTATAACTTAAAACTTTCTGGATTAAGTACCTAAAAGCTGGTTATGCATGTTGTAATTGAATTTCCCATGAATTACAATAACACCTTAAGGCACTGTATTTGTAAAAGTGACTAAAAATAGGTTCAGCAGGTAAAAAAACTTACGATTTTTTGGTATTCCAAAGACTGAAATATTCAGCCTCTTCTTAGTCCACTAAAATTCTTATAAAAGTTTTGTGGAAAAATAAATAAAAATGTCCTACTAATCAAAGGTGACAGAAAGCATATATTCACAGAAATAAACATATTTATTTATTTATTCCTAAATTATTATGTAAGATATATTTACTGATTTCCTATACACACATTGCTACAATAAATTTACCAAATAAGTAACTGCATTTGTGTTTGAGAACTAGTTTTTAAATGGGTATTTTGAAGAATATCAAGGCTGGTGAAAATGCAAAAATATTTTCAAATTTATGGAAAAAAAAGAATCTTTTAGAGATATCAGAACTAGTTCCAAATTGCCTGGAAATTTCCTTGGACCACGACCGCTCATGGAAGGTGGTAATATGTTATGACTTGTATATATCTACCAGCTTTGGAACTTTACGAAGACAAGGAATTTTGTTAATCTTGAAAGAAAATCTATCAGTAGTTGGTTTGGTTTTTTTTTTACCTTCTGGGTAGAAATTATAGAGCAGAGAGATTCCTGGAGAAACAGCCAAAGAAAGGAAGAGCATATGTTATCATTTATTTCACAGCTAAAAGAAATACCATTTTAAATACCTGAATAAGGCTTTAAGAATCAGTGATAGTTTCTTGCCAGCAGTTTTTAACAGAAGTCATGGGTAAGAACAGGCAACAGTAAATTTGATTAATGGATCAGCTGTGTGCAATTGGAGCTGGGGCTGATAAAACTTAAGGTGTGAGGGTCATGTCAAAGTTTTTGGCATGGAAGAGATTAAGGCTGATCCTATTTTATGACCTTTTTATTTGTCAGACAAGAGTAATATGAAAGGTTTATAGTGGCTGTCAAAACCTTAGCATGCACTTAATTTGCTACTTTAAATATATAAAACTCAGAAAGTAATGATAGAAACCTGCAATCTGATTTTTTAAAATTAGTTCTCTTTGCTTTATTTCTTCAGGAGAATAATGGTGTGTGAGATGACTGGTCATATATTGCCCTTGACCACAAGTAAAATGCCTGGGATGCCAATGGGAGCTGGCTGCATGGGCTGAAAGCTGTTTATAGCCCCAGGACATCAGTATTTATGAGGTCTCTCAAGTGAGACAAATGGAAAAATAAACCACTCCATTCTGAAAATTGCTTTTCTTTTTTTCATGAGCAGAAAGTCAGCTTCTAGTCTAAAAAAAAAGAGCCTCCTTTCTGAAGAGTAACATGTTAATCTTGAACTCTGAAGGTTATCGGCATATAGATTCATCACAGTTTCACTAGATGTATCATACTGAAATTTCACTAGATGTATCATACTGAAATTACAGTCATGCAGAAATGAGGAAAAGTAAAGAAATTTTTTAATAATTTAATAAAGCATTAAACAAAAGAACATGCTACCTTACACATAACTAAGAAGTTCTCCAATATTGATAGAAAGTTTATCATTCTAGAAATAGAAAGTAACTTACCGATTATCTGATGCTATTAGAAAGGCTTGTTTTATGATCTCAGCATTAAATTCAGTTTCACACTGAAGCAAATTTAAAGCTTTGATTTACTGTATTTAATCAGAACTTACCTGAGTAGTTCCAAGGACAGTATTAAACGTTCCTTCCCAGTTATATTGCTCTATTCTCTACTATAGAGATAGAAGATTATTTCAGGTTACTTTTGAAGATCTAAACCAATTTTTTTGTTGTGCTTTCCTTCACTTTGTTTTTATAGAGATTTTTAGACCTTCATTTTCTTCTTCTAACATTTTTGACTCCACTCAAAACTACCAAACAAGGCCCATACAAGTTTAGTCAAATTTGACCCACTAATGTTTCTACTTACAGATCACATTCTTACTTTCTGTCTCTCTCTCATTGTACACAGAGGGAAATAAGTTTGCTGGATAATATTGCAGTATGGAGTTTCAGAGTGATGTTTTCAAACAATTAAAAGAATAGAGAATGACAGCTTACCTCGTGACTGTTCAGCCTGTCAGAATTTTACAGCAGGGAAGATCTCTACAAGCATGATGCCTAAAAAAGCTTTTTTTTTTCTTTTTATATTGATATCTGATGTCTACAAAATCATATAAAAGGAAAGGTCATGTAGTAGCACCATTGCTCTCTTCAGGATCACACAAAGAAGAGCAGATCTTCTTCCACAGAGCAAAAAGGCAATTCACATACAATTTTAATTTACTTGGCTCAAGATTTTTCTGTGCCCGCACAGGCTTTTCCTCTCTAAGAAGAACTTCGTACACTGAGAAAGTACAGAAGTACAGAAATTCCTAAATTTAAATTCTCCAGCTTCTGAAACTTGATTTAATCCTACATGGTCAGTATAAATACACTTATCAATTCAATCTGTTGCAGATCTGGACAGCAACCTATCTTAGGCTAGGTCACTTTATAAGTGGTTTAAGGAAGATGTTTTTAGGGCAAGGGTAATTTTCAAATTATGCAACCTCTAGCTTTGTTATTAAAAAAAAATTGCAACACATAAATTCTATATTAATTTTTTTGATGATTCATCTTTAAATAAGAAAGATGATTCAATGATTTGCATCTTAAAAAACATAAAAGGACCTCTTGGTATTCTTAGTTTTTGGAAGCAATTTGGTATTTCATTTTGTTTTAATAATTACCTTATTTTCCACTCTTCTGCACAATATCCCTTTAATAACCACCCCTGAAAACAAAAACGTTTTACCTCACACCTCAAAGCCAACCTCACAAAAGCCACAGGTACAGCTATATATCTTCACATTTTTCTGTGAGAAACTTGGAAGTACTATTGTGGCAACTGGGATAAAAAGCTATGTCACTGGGTACTGTGTATTTCCTTCTGCAAAACTCCCACCTTGCAATAGAAGCTAGTTGCCCCTCACCAGGGGACTCTAGTCAGAAAATATTTATGTATTTAGTAGTGCAAGTCCTCTGGCATAGATCTTGATAGATAGGGGTAGGTGGTGGAATGCAGAGGGAAATAGGGAATTTCTGGAAGCAGGTGTTACATTTCTTATTCTGTGCTGTAAAACCCCAATTAACATAATTCCTCCTATTGCTATTTGTGAATATTTTCTGATTCACCATGTCATCATTTTGAAATGGCAACCATAGCAATTGTTTTCATAGTATGGTGGGAGGACATATAAGAGAGGGGAAGCACCTGAGTGTGCAATATTATTGGCTGCACTTGTGCAATTAGGTATAGCCAATTATGTTTCACTATAATTAGATGCTCAAATAGCCTAATCAGAGACAGATGAACAAATTGAGAGTTTATTGGTGAGAATTTAGGGACTGGCTAATACAAATGACACTGATGTAGGCGTTTACTGTAGGCCACCTGATCATGAGGAGGAAGTTGATGAGGCTTTCTATGGGCAGCTGGAAATAACCTCATGGTCACAAGGCCCTCATTCTCCCTGGGGACTTTAATCACCCTGATATCTGGTGCACACCATACAGGAAGTTCCTGCAGATCATTGAAGATAACATTTTGATGCAAGTGGAGGA